GATTCAAAACAGCTGGCTTACTTTTGGGGCGCCGTCAAGTGGAGTTGAATTCTCATGGGTTATATGTTCGAGTATAGCGAACCCGTTAGTCAAAACTCGGTTAAAACTAACGCTTTTCCATATTCTCATTAAATATTCCCACAAGAATATAGTGAACCAATTTTGATGCAGTTTTCGCGTTCACTATATCCAGACTTCACTGTATTTATGTTAACAGTACTGGTCATGAATGTTTTATTAGGGTTTATGCAAAGTCGACAGTTCATGACCCCATGATACTTGCATGACATTGTCAACATGGAAGAATTACCTACTTCGAACTGCCTTTTCCTTTATAATTATTGGGTTTTGTGAGATTATGACATTTTTCTGGGAAAACTAAAGTCTGTTTTTTCTTTAAAGATAAAAGTCAAAATGACATTATGTTGGCAATGCAATGTAAAATTGTCAATGCTTTCAAATTTTTTATGTAGAAAAGGCTTGTGTTGCGAACATAGTTACTAGATTTTTGACTTGGGGAATTATCTTTAAAAAAAAAACACATTTTAACTATTTTGACAAAACACTGTTGTGAGACGTTACTGCACTTGTTATATTATGTACAGGGTATTTGATTATATTTGGCACCATACCTACAGCCTTTACTTGAACAATACAGCCCATAATTTTTTGGAAGTTGGATTTTCTGTCAGCCAGGACTACGATGTCTTCCTTATAATTCGTAGTATTGAGGATTCGTTTATTTTGATGCCTCCCGTATCTTCCATAAAAGCTTATGTGAAAATGATTTCTGAATAAGTATTTAATGACAGCGGAGATAATAAACAACTTGTCGTACTCCACGCCGAATTGAGGCATGTTTCTCATTATACTCTACTCTCACTTTCGCGTTACTGCATAATGATTCTAATTTTCTTTTATCATTTCCAGTGGTTGAAAATTTCCCTATAAATTTCTGATACGTACTTGACAAAGTTGTATGCTCTTGAATTATCTAAGGTACCTACATTTCTGGCCAAAAAGGCAAACTGCTCACAGTTCGATACTGCCGCATGGTCGGTCTCATGTCTCATGTTTTCAAAGTATTTTTAGGAAATGTGAAGAATATTACACATTGCACAAGAATTTTGGATGCTAGTATTATACACCTGTAAAGTTCCCATTCTGCCCTTTTTTAGGTTTTTTCAAACAGGCAATTATGCAAAGCGGTACCAGCTTGTGTGTATGGGCTCTCAATTCAAGCCCACGAGAACAAGCATTTAAAGTAGGCCAATTATTACAAATAAATGCAACTGATACCAAGACTTTAGTGGATAATTTAAGAAAAGTTGAATATATGGCTTTAAAAGCTGCAGAATTGCAGATCACTAATAGGGTAAAATGAATCCGGCCTGAAGAGTGTCCAATTTATCTTATATATTTATTTAAAGGAAACGGTTGAACACTTTATAAGAGGGCTTCCATTTGGAGTTGCTCAAGAGCCTGATTATCCAGGAGCAGTGTTTTCAATAAGAAGCAAAAGTCATTTACAATTAACCAAGAAGGAGTTTCCAAAAATTCCAATTTTATTAGGTTTTACTTCTAACGAAGCTGCTCTGTATACTGATCAAATACAATTTTTTAATAGTACATTGGCGTCTTATGATGCTAATGTCTCAAAAATTGCACCCACGGGTATTGTAAAAGATTCTACCAAAAGGGAATTGGCAGGAAGAAAAATTAAAAACCACTATTTTGGTAATGAGACTATTGTCAGTCAACCGACAAAATTTATAGAGGTGAAATAGTATATTACATACCGAGGTGGAAAGTGTTTCATTACTGTCGAGAGATCAGTTAGTTAACTGAGACGCGAAGCGTCGAAGTTAACTATAATCTCGAGACAGGAATGAAACTTCCTACCGAGGTTTGTATACTATTTTATTTACAACAATTACAAACCTCATTATTTCGACTAAATACTAAAAAAAAATTAAAAAATTTGTTGACAAGTTCTGACTCATCTAAAAAAACGTTTGACATGCAGGACTCGTCTTAAACATTTTAGGAAATGAGAACTTACTTTCCACCCGGGTGGAAAGTGAGCACTTTCCACCCGGGACCACTTTCCACCCGGGTGGAAAGTAAAATTCAAAAAAGTGTCACTTTCAAACTTTTGAAAAGTCAGAAATGTAAACATTACGTATGTTGTTGTAAATAAAATAATTTTGTATTCTTTAGTTAGTGAAATAATGATAATTTATTTCTAGTTCTTTACTATAGATGGTTTTAAAAGACCAATCAGAGAATCTGCTCGTTTATTCAAAGCTGTCAAAAATTCAAGAATCTTTTTTTATCAGTTTGGTTATATTGGAAATTTGGGCACTTCGAATATATATATATATATTTGGAATCAGGAAGAAAAGATCTTTTTCTACTGACATTTCATAATACGCTATTAAACGATTAAAATCTGTATCATAATGAACTTCATTACGATACAGATTTTCATTATAATACTCATTTTTAATATTATACAATGTTGATAGATGGCAGCACTAGTTCAGATATTAAACATTTTAAACGGTGATTTTGCGTAAAACAATTATTTTGATAACTATAAAAAAGACTCCGAATTGTTTAAAAGTTACCTTAAGTTTGGGACAAAGAATAATTATTATGGAAATCATGAATGATAAGGAAGAATTTTTACTTTCTTCATTATTATGCATTGTCAATAGATGGCGCCACGAGTTAAAAAATTTTGAATTTTTTTTTTTTTGAATGTTGGCAGTACTGTTTATAGCTTTTCCATGGTAATTTAGCGAAAAACAATAATTTTATAAAAAAAATACTTCAAATTGTTATTAAAAGCTAATACCTTAAGTTTGGGAGAAGGCATTATTATGGAAATATTGAGCGATAACGAGGAATTTTCACTAACACCCTCCAGAAATTACAGAAAGGGCGACAAATGCAGGTAATAATATACTACCGGACAAGTCCAAGAAAATTTACGAAAAATTATATGGACAATTTATGGATTGGAAACACCAAAAACACATCATCCTTCTCAGAAAATGTTTTGATAGTATATTTTGAAGAATTACAACAAAAAATGAAACCTTCAACTGTATGGATTACTCAATTATGAAATCTCTATTCAAAGTTAAGCATAATGTTGACATATCTAAATATCATAAGTTTAATCAATGGCAGTAGAAAAAATAGTGTATGCAACTCTCATGTAATGGCCATTAATACACTCGCATGTTATATACGAAACTCGCCTACGGCTCGTTTCGTATCCTACAACATGCTCGTGTATTAATGGCTATCATTACATGATCATTGCATAATATACTATTAATTTTATCGTATAATATACAGGGTGTTCCATTGAAAAAAGTTGAAGTTGCCTACGTTTCTCCATTTTCCGATGCGATTTTGTTTTTTCTGATAGCGTCAAAAGAAAATATAGAAAAAAACTGTCAAGTTTTGTATTTAAAATTTTTTTCTATCTTAAATAGTAAAGGCTGTAGGTATGGTGCCAAATATATAACTTCCAAAAAATTATGGGCTGTATTGTTCAACATGTTGGACTGCACATGAACATTTCTAAAAAAAAACTGCTCTAATGTTCCTATCACTGCAATGCTCTCAATCAAATTATAGGCAGAAATGTCGAACAATTTTCATCTTTTAAATATTTGGATACCATCATCAATGCACTCTGTAATTCGGAGAACGAGACACGATCTAGGATCAAACAACCCAGAAAAACTTTCATCAGTATGAGCAACCTCTTCACATGTCTTGATCTGAGTTTTGAACTTGAGGTTCAGATGATCAGAGATTATACCTTTAGTGTGCAGCTATACGGAAGTGAATGCTGAACTCAGTCATCGGAAAAGAAATTGAAGATCTCGGAGAAGCATTCAAGAAAATTTAAAACTCGTAAACATTAATGCATAATTGAATAAAGAAATACAAGACACCTGGGCTATACTATAATGAAAGGCGATAGGTACGAACTCACGATACTGGTAGAAGAAGGAGAGATTCAAGGGAGAAGATTTGTTGGAAGATGGCCGAACTCATCGTTGGAAGAAATTCGAAGATGTTTTAGGTAGACTTCGTGATTTGGTAGCTCAGTGAAATACCATGTCAGCCATCAGGAAATTAGATACTCAGTCACCATATTTCAGCGAAAATTGCTGTTTGGTGTTGAAGCTTTATCTTAGATGGCGCCACGATCAAATTTCGACCATTGTACTATATATATATATATATATATATATATATATATATATATATATATATATATATATATATATATATATATATATATATATATATATATATATATATATATATATATATATATATATATATATATATATATATATATATATATATATATATATATACACATTTGAGTGAGCCGTTTTTGAAATATTTTAGCTTGAATTTGCAAAGAAATTTCATAAGGATGTCAAGACATTTAAATCTTCATAAAATTCCTTTGGATTTTATTTAAAATTTAAGCTAAGATATATCAAAAACGACTCACTCAAATATGATCAGTATATATATTTGGAATCAGGAAGAAAAGATCTTTAATTTTATCGCATAATATACAGGGTGTTCCATTGAAAAAAGTAGAAGTTGCCTACGTTTCTCCATTTTCCGATGCGATTTTGTTTTTTCTGATAGCGTCAAAAGAAAATATAGAAAAAAACTGTCAAGTTTTGTATTTAAAATTTTTTTCTATCTTAAATAGTAAATGCTGTAGGTATGGTGCCAAATATAATCAAATACCCTGTACATACTGATTATATTTTTTAAATTGTTTAAAAAAAAAAATTACATCAAATCAAAAAAATCCTTACCCTGTTTTAGCAAAATTCGTCCATAAAGCAATCATCTTTTCCACTGTTATCATATCTCTATAAGTGGCATTTGCATTTTTTTTGACAAACAAATATTCAATATCTTCTCCATGGGCTACACCTAAATAGTTAATAATAATTCTGGTTATCCAATTTGGAAATAACTATTTCACCTTTGTAGTTTCGATTCGAAGTGCCCAAATTTCCAATATAACCAAACTGATAAAAAAAGATTCTTGAATTTTTGACAGCTTTGAATAAACGAGCAGATTCTCTGATTGGTCTTTTAAAACCATCTATAGTAAAGAACTAGAAATAAATTATCATTATTTCACTAACTAAAGAATACAAAATTATTTTTCACCTCTATAAATTTTGTCGGTTGACTGACAATAGTCTCATTACCAAAATAGTGGTTTTTAATTTTTCTTCCTGCCAATTCCCTTTTGGTAGAATCTTTTACAATACCCGTGGGTGCAATTTTTGAGACATTAGCATCATAAGACGCCAATGTACTATTAAAAAATTGTATTTGATCAGTATACAGAGCAGCTTCGTTAGAAGTAAAACCTAATAAAATTGGAATTTTTGGAAACTCCTTCTTGGTTAATTGTAAATGACTTTTGCTTCTTATTGAAAACACTGCTCCTGGATAATCAGGCTCGTGAGCAACTCCAAATGGAAGCCCTCTTATAAAGTGTTCAACCGTTTCCTGTAAATAAATATATAAGATAAATTGGACATTCTTCAGGCCGGATTCATTTTACCCTATTAGTGATCTGAAACTCTGCCGTTTTTAAAGCCATATAATCAACTTTTCTTAAATTATCCACTAAAGTCTTGGTATCAGTTGCATTTATTTGTAATAATTGGCCTACTTTAAATGCTTGTTCTCGTGGGCTTGAATTGAGAGCCCATACACACAAGCTGGTTCCGCTTTGCATAATTGCCTGTTTGAAAAAACCTAAAAAAGAGCACAATGGGTTTTATAAACTTATTTCTACAGGTGTATAACACTGGCATCCAAAATTCTTCTGCAATGTGTAATATTTTGAAGATTTCTCAATCTTGATAATTCCTGAAACTTCTCCTCTCCTTTGAGAACATGAGACATAATACTGACCATGCAGTAGTATCGAACTGTGAGCAGTTTGCCTTTTTGGTATCGCCACAAAATTCAGTTTGATGGATTCTTTAGCACCGTAAATGTGACACGGAGTTTCAATTGGAAATCAGACCCTACAATGCCTCTCTAGGCATTCTTCTCCCAGGCTGGCACAAAAATATGCCTTGCATAATTGAAGAGGATACAACTTTGTCGAGCTTCAGAAAATAATACGGATATTTTAAACCCGGACTGATAAAAGAAAATTAGAATCATTATGAAGTAACGCGAAAGTGAGAGGATAATGAGAAACATGCCTCAACTCAGCGTGGAGTACGACAAGTTGTTTATTGTCTCCGCTGTCATTAAATATCTACTTATTCAGAAATCGTTTTCACAGAAGCTTTTTTGGAAGATATGGGAGGCATCAAAATAAACGAAACCTCAATACTACGAATTATAAGGAAGACACCATAGTCCTGGCTGACAGAAAATCCATCTTCCAAAAAATTATGGGCCGTGTTCAATATGTTGGGCTGCACATGAACATTTCTAAGACAAAACTGCTCGTTTCCTCTAATGTTCCTATAACTGCAATGCTCTCAATCAAATTATTGGCAGAAATCTCGAACAATTTTCATCTTTCAAATATTTGGATACCATCATCAATGCACTCTGTAATTCGGAGAACGAGACACGATCTAGGATCAAACAACCCAGAAAAACTTTCATCAGTATGAGAAACCTCTTCACATGTCTTGATCTGAGTTTTGAACTTGAGGTTCAGATGATCAGAGATTATACTTTTAGTGTGCAGCTATACGGAAGTGAATGCTGAACTCAGTCATCGGAAAGGAAATTGAAGATCTCGGAGAAGCATTCAAGAAAATTTAAAACTCGTATGCATTAATGCATAATTGAATAAAGAAATATAAGATACCTGGGCTATACTATAATGAAAGGCGATAGGTACGAACTCACGATACTGGTAGTCGAAGGAGAGATTCAAGGAAGAAGATTTGTTGGAAGATGGCCGAACTCATCGTTGGAAGAAATTCGAAGATGCTTTAGGTAGACTTCGTGAATTGGTAGCTCAGTGAAATACCATGTCAGCCAGCAGGAAATTAGGAAGATCATTAGAGGCCTGGGAAGGCACCGTGTCGTCGAATTTTCTCCATTTCTTAAGTTTTTCGAGGTGTTGGATCCAAATCTAAGGTTTGCTAACAAAATTTCGTGACGCAACATTGGAAAAAATTCAAAAAAAATTACAAAAAAAAGTTTTGGCACTCTTTTGCTTATAACTCGGTATCCATCAGTTTTTAGGAAAAAGCACCATCATTCAAAATGAAAGTACAAAAAATTTCTCTTAAGTTTCATCGTTTATATATGTTTTCCGCCAACGAACCGTTCGGGCTCAATCGTTAGTTGAAAAGTGGAGTGTGCTTTGTCGATTTCCACAAAAGCCCACTTTTTATCTGCAAAACTCTTTGTTATCAAATAACATTATCTTCATGACTGTATTATTAAATTATTATTTTAGCTGTTTTCTCTTAGAAGGTCCTAGCTCATCAGGCTCCTCGATGCGATGGCGGAAGGTTCTGGCAGAGGATCGGGCTCTCCCATAAATATTGGAGATTGAGAGAAATTGTGAAAAACAAACTTGTGATTTTTCAATTAGACATGCCTACCACATCGTGTGAGCGTTCTTCTTCAGACAGTTTTTGCTCTCTTTCTTCGGCCCCTTCTTTGAACGATGTCGCCCGGGGACTTAACGTTTTCACACGACCCGTTGCATGTTGTGCATATTAGAGAGCAATAAAGGCCTGTCTTCCTGCATCCACAATTCAGCTGGTAGCCTTTCTTGAATTTAGAAGATACGCGCTAAAGTATATTGAGTTCGGTGATGGTTTGGAAGGGGCACAAGACCACTGTTTATTTTTCTACCCTCACTGGTTTGGGTCTCTTTCTTGTTTATTGAATATAGTTTTTTTAGTTGTCCAGATAACCACTGCGGCATCTGAGAGTAAACGCTCTGTGAATCTCCTCCTGCAGCAGCTTCAGGGGAAGGTAGTGTGGCAATGCTCGGTTTGCTTTTGTGAGATGATGATAGATAAAACCTGTATCTCAAATAGTTTGAAATAGTCTTTCGGCGTTTCCCATACAAAAGTTATGAGAAGCACTAGAAGCATGTTGCCTACTTGGGCAATCTCGTCCTGCTGAGCCCGAGGGTATTTGAAAGCCTCAGTAACTGGTTCCAATAAGTCATTGCTTTTTGCAGGACTTTTAAAAATTTCAATATCCTCCCTTTAACCGGAGCGGAAGTAGTGTCACAACCGTCCACTCATCGCGTGAAGGAACAATATAATATGGTCTGATAGGTGGGGATCATAGATGGTGTGAGACACTTCTCCTTTCCACGGTTTCATGATAGAGATTTTTTATAGCACATCTCTTCTCTTCCTATTTGTACTTGACACAATAAATAGTCCCCAGTACATCGACCCTAAAATTTTGTAACTCATGTACACGCCAAACTTCCTGAGCAGCTTCATGATTGTCGGACAACTTTGTTCATATCTGCAACCTGAGCGATTGGACATTGTCGCGCTAGCTCTTCATGAAGTTGTCATTCTGACGTCCCTGAGAACGGTGATACATGTACGTGTAGTTTTAATTCTAATCGACTGTTTTGTATGTTATGTTAACGATATCACATTTGTCGGACAAAAATCTCGTGGCATTGGGGGGGTCCGACGCTTCTAACAGCAACATGTTAAGGGCGTCGGACCCCCTCATTGCCACGAGATTTTTGTCCGACAAATGTGATATCGTTTTTATAACATAAAAAACAGTCGATATAATTAAAACCCCACGTACATGTATCACCGTTCTCGGAGACGTCAGAATGACAACTACACGAAGAGCTAGCGCGACAATGTCCCATCGCCCAGGTTGCAGATATGAACAAAGCTGCTCAGTTTGGCGTGTACATGAGTTACAAAATTTTAGGGTCGATGTACTGGGGACTATTTATTGTGTCAAGTACAAATAGGAAGAGGAGAGATGTGCTATAAAAAATCTCTATCATGAAACCGTGGAAAGGAGTAGTGTCTCACACCATCTATGATCCCCACCTATCAGACCATATTATATTGTTCCTTCACGCGATGAGTGGACGGTTGTGACACAACTTCCGCTCCGGTTAAAGGAAGGATATTTCAATTTCTAAAAGTCCTGCAAAAAGCAATGACTTATTGGAACCAGTTATTGAGGCTTTCAAATACCCTCGGGCTCAGCAGGACGAGATTGCCCAAGTAGGCAACATGCTTCTATTGCTTCTCATAACTTTTGTATGGGAAATGCCGAAAGACTATTTCAAACTATTTGAGATACTGGTTTTATCTAATATCATCATCTCACAAAAGCGAACCGAGCATTGCCACACTACCTTCCACTGAAGCTGCTGCACGAGAAGATTCACAGAGAGTTTACTCTCAGAGGCCGCAGTGGTTATCTGGACAAACTATATTCAATGAACAACAAAGAGACCCAAACCAGTGAGGGGAGAAAAATAAACAGTGGCCAAGTCCCATCGCCTAGGTTGCTGATATGAACAAAATTGTCCGACTTGTTGTTATGAAGCCGCTCAGGAAGTTTGGCGTGTACATGAGTTACAAAATTTTAAGGTCGATGTACAGGGGACTAAAACGTAGTCAAACTTTTTTCCCGCACCGTTGTTATTTTCTCTAAATCATTATTCAGTATTTAATCACAAATGAAACCCACGATCCAGGACATTTTTAACAGTAGGCGTTAACTGCACTGTGTTCAGTAATTTAAAACTAGGAGGAATTTACTGAATGAGCTTCAAGTACCAATTCAGAGTTTTGCAGTCAACAAGGTGGGTTTTTGGTGAGACAAATAAAATACGACAAATTTTGACTAACGGTTGAGCCCAAACGCTTCGTCCTACAAAAAAATTCAAAATTCAAGGGGCTTGCTTAAATCATAGAACATTTTACGTACTTTCATTTTGAATAGAGGTGATTTTTCCAAAAAATTGATAGTTTTTGAGTTCTACGCAAAAAACTGTCTCAACTGACCTTTTTTTTTTTAACTTTTTTTGTATTTTTTTCAATGCGACGGTTTTCCCTGCAGGTTACAACCTGAACCGTTTCAAGACCAACAAACACCGACATTTCCGCGCACTTGCCGCTTCTCGAGCGTGATAGGACATTTCCTTGCGAGTGCGCATATCCGTAAAAAAAAAAAAAAAAAAAAAAATGTCACGTAATATTGTTAGCACACCTCATATTAAGATTCAGCACCCCAAAAAACATAAAGAATGAGGAAAATCAAAACTATCCCAAAACTTTCTCGCGGGAGGCTTATATGAGCACAAATTTATTTTATTGGAAATTAACAAAACTATTTTAGGAATGGGAAATCCGACAAAACTTGTATCAAACAACGCATTTGTATCTGTGAGTTTGAAGATTTTTAAAAATAGTAGGGATAAATCATGTTTTTAGAGCTGGTATTTCAATGTTACCTCAAAGGCGGTGTGACCCAAAAATAAGAGTTTTAGAAAAAAAATCTATGAACAAATTTTCAAATCGCACTAGGCTATGACCAATCATTGCGAAGATACCGTGATATAAAGTTCCCACTCCTAGCATTATGACGTCACATGCACAAACTGAGTCCGCCTTCCGGCGCTGCGCGCGTGGTTACTTGCATGCTTGCTGCATATATTATCGACATTATCGTATTATTTTTGCGTATCGCTGCGTCAGTTTAAATAGGTCCTTTCATTTTTGCGTGTATTCATGACGTCATGATGAATAGACAAAACTTTATTTAGGCGTATCAATCTACCCTATTATTTTGAGTAGTGATGCGAGATTTCCACAAGAGTTCTTAGGATTTTTTTTTTAATTTTCTGAATACAAGTTGTATTTTAAGGTTAAACCCCCTTTAAGGTACAGAATTAGGCAATCCAACCCAACGACCTGTCCAAATGGCGTCTGGTTGGCAAACAATAAAACAAAAAAAATATGGTTTTTTTTTTGGCAGGATTAAGCCTAGTACTCATAACAGCGAAATTTGCTCTTTTTTGACATTGCTTCGACAATTTGACGTTTTATGCGTGAATCAAACGTCAAATTGTCGAAGCAATGTCAAAAAAGAGCGAATTTCGCGGTTATGAGTACTAGGCTTTATCAATACACGGGGCGAGTACACAAATCTGACACTTTTTTGACATCTTGATAACAAGCCGTATTCTAACCTCATAAAAATTTCAAAATGCCGGCTGGTTGGCAAAAGTCACGTGGTTTGGATTCCCTAATAAAGTTAAGTCATCCTTAATACAAGTTTCACCCTATATCAAAGTTCTCTTTAATTCAAGGTGGCCATCTGAATGAACTTCAAGTTCGCCTTAACGTTAAGGGTGCCTTAGGTAAGTCTTGATTTTAAGGTAACATTGATATACCGGCCCTAAGTATGTCACCAAAAAATCGAAAAACCAAGCCCCTAACAAAACATCCCTATGTTCCTACAATGTTTGCGTCACAGGATGTCACACCAAGAAGAAACGAACCAAATAAGAAATCTCCTGCGGAAATAATTTTTGGAAGACAGATGAAAATAACTTTAGATTTATTGAAACCTTGTGCGTGTACCAAGCCCCGACTGATCGGAGACTGCGTTAAGACAGAGTTAGTAGTCAGTTAGCTGAGGTGCTTCAATCTCTTAAAAACATATGTGCAAATAGTATTTCACCTTTGGTTAGGCGACTCTGTAGTAGATAAGAAACGGAAACCGCGCCTGCACTCTGTCCAAATACCGTTATTCTATCTGGATCTCCACCAAAATATTTTATATTTTCCCTAACCCATTGGATAGCCAAAATTTGGTCTTTTAATCCTACGTTGCCAGGAACTACCATATCTTCGGTACTAAAAACCAGTAATATATCTACTTGACAAATATTGTGTTCACTTTCTCAAAAAACTTACCAAAGAAATCCAAATATTCCAAGCCTGTAATTCATTCCTACATATATAACTCCTTTTTCTAGGAAATAGTCTGGCGGATAGTCTTCGTATTTTGATGATCCACGTTGAAAATATCCTCCGCTAATATATATCATGACTGGCAGTAATTTATTATTACTTCCTGTTGGCTGGAAAAGTAACTTAAACACTAAGTATGTGTCTTGAGATCAGCTCTATTAGACATTGTTTTCTACAGCATCTCAAAATTGTTGCAACTTACGTTATTTGTAGTATAAACTGAAAGATAAAGGCAATCTTCAGAACCCACTATTGCCGTTCCTTCACTATTGAACTGGGTGCATTCATCTTTATCTTGAGATGCATCAAGCACGCCTTCCCAGGGAAGATTTTTTACTGGAGGCTGTAGAAGAATTATATTTCAAATATTATTGGAAAAATTGAGCAATATCACACCGACCTCAAACCTCAATTTTCCAATGGGTTTTTCAGCGAACGGAATTCCCTTGAATGAATAATACTCAACATACCTATTTACAGTCCTTCCTAGTATACCCTGAACTTCTCCACTTGACATGGAAACGACAGGATTGGAATCCTACAATAAGACTTCAAATTAAAGATATAAAAAATTATTGTTATGCTACTTACCTCAAATGCCGAAGTATATTTAATTACTACTAACAGTAATACCAAGGGATGAAACATTTTACACCAACTAACGAATCTACCCATTCAATTTGTTTTTTCCTTTATACCTAGTTTTGATAAATAAGCAACTAAATGTTCAAAAATTAATAGGAATTACGTGGAATATTTCAATTTAAAATAAATTTAATAGCCAAAATGAACAGATTATTGTTTTTGACAAATAGGTAGGTACTTTATTTCCAAAAAGTAGTTTCTATGATTTAAATGGGTAGGAATGAAAGAGATTTACCTGAAAGTTTAACCAAATTTTTCGACTAAATTTCATATACGGCTAAACGTAGTTTTTAATGACCTAGCTGGTATTTTTATCTACCTAAATGTGAAATATTAAACGTTTTTAAATTATAAAAATACCAATTCAATTATTTTTTAATTGAGTTTTCATATAAATATAAAAATTATAGAGTTAAACGGAATATAGGTATGTTACGAAATCACTAAAATACATACAGTAGATGTACAGTATCCGCCAAAATAAACAGTACCGAACATAGAAATAATATCATTTCTTTATTTGCATCATGCGTATATGTTCAAAAAATGCATCATAGCAAAGCAAAAAAGCTTCATAACGATTCTGCAAATCATTGAAAATATTAAGTGGTTGCTGAAATTTTTCTGATACTTGTTTCAAACTTGAGCCTTTATTCCTTCCAACTCCGTATGACTGGAAATAGTGCTCTACTAAGAAAACTCTTTCTTCAGTTGAAAGATACATAATGATGAAGATTTCAACCTCAACTTAATGTCAACATTGTCAACCTCATAACTGATGCCAAATAAGCGAAATATGCTGATTGCAACTTGATTGCGCAATTATTCAGAGCTCTAGATTTCGGTACTGTTTATTTTGGCGGATACCGTACTTGCAAACCGCGGGCTTCTAACATGTCGATAAGTGTACACTTATATAGAATAATCTAGATCAGTCCTGTCCAACAAGAGGCCCGCGGAGACCTCTGAATTTATAAATTACTCTCAAATACGAAATATGCACAATTCTTACATTAACCATAAAATACAAATAAAAAGACATGTGGCGCTACTGGCGAAGGATAGAAGGTCGCAGCGAAACGAAGCAGCTGAGTAAGTGACTTATCAGAAAGAGAACATCTATATTTTGACTTTATAAATTTCATGTTGAAAAAGCTGCTTTCGCAAAGATACGTGTTTTCCAGCACTGAGCCCAGTGTAAGTCCTAAGTTTCGCAGGTTGGGGTATCGTTCTTCTAGCAGCAACTTGAAAAAGTCTAATCCATTTCCAGTTCTTCCTTGGTAAAAAGGATCTGATTGCAAATCACACAATTTGTACGGGGCTGAAGGAGAACTGAAATCTCTCTTTCGATTTTTTTGAAGTCGCTAAATCGATTTTCGAATTCTTCTCAATGTATGTTATCTGAGGTAAATTTGAAACTTCCTCAAAATGCTCTTTACAACTTGGAAAAAAATGATGAAAAACCATTTTTTTCTAATGAAGACTTGAAGAGCCTAATTTTTTTAAGAACTGGAACTGGATTGAACATTTTCAAGTTGCTGCCAGAAGAACGATACCTCAACTTGCGAAACTTAGGGCTTACACTGTGCTCAGTGCTGGGAAGCACGTATTTTTGCGAAAGCAGCTTTTCCAACATGAAATTTATAAAGTCAAAATATAGATGTTCTCTTTCTGATAAGTTACTAACTCAGCTGCTTCATTTATCAACAACAAATGTTAAAGTTGATATTGGTGCATTAGTAAGTGAGAACCAACATCCCCAAATTTCCCACTAATTTTTTTGTAATTTGAATATTTTTGAGTAAATGTAAATATTGCAAACGCGTTTTTTCTTTGTATGCCATACTTATTAAAACTCACGGATGAAGTTCCTTTTGAAGTATTTTATAATGCGGCCCCCCAAACCGTATTTTTGTTTAAAGCGGCTCTTGGAGAACTTGAAGTTGGACAGCCCTGATCTGGATATCAGCAAGTTTCCAAGGCTACTGGCACTTCGTGAAAAAAAGAATGGACAAGCCAAAGAAGTCAAGAATTTACCATGCATGCCATGAGGATCCTTTGCTGGCAAAAGTAGACGAGATACTTTTTGTACTTTTATGCTAGGGACCGAGGTATTTCATTCATATGAGAAATAAGTTTTTGATAATAAAGAATGCTTTATCGTTTTTATTTTTTAGCTTGCTTTGATTACATTTTTAGGTGTGGAGCTGGGCTAGCTGCTTTGTGAAGACGTTGTGAATCTAAAGTTCTAGTCAGTGTCAAAATTAAAAAAAAAAATTACAGGGATCATTGATTTGTGACAAAGAATCCCATCAGCACCTCTGACTGACATGGTTGGCCTGTGTCCCATTCGTTGTTTTAAAAGAACTTCCGTCTCCCTTCTAACAGATTTTACGCTATTGTTGATCAGGTCTAGAGACATTGTTTTGTAATTAAACAAAAAAGGAAAATCTAGGAATTTGTTGTAGAAAAAAAAGAAAAGTGAAAATGAAAATTTAGAAAGGTGATAATCTAGCAAGGTGGCCACAGTACTACAAGACGAGAAAGGAAACTCTGTTTCTAAAAGCTGCCGACTAACTCTTACAGTGGAGAGTGGTGTGGGTGAATTAATAGAAAGCGCCACTTGTTTTAATGCCCTTCAGCTGAACGGAGTTCCGATATTTCAAAAAAAAAAAACAGGAAAACTCAACAGCTAAACGGTAATGCACCTGTCAAACTAAAATTGCCTAAAAGGGTACAATGAAACGCCTCAATTCAGATCAATAAATGTAATCAAATCTGCCCTCAAATATTACATTTTACAACAAACTGAAAATTGAAAGCGTAAATATGGTTACCGGCGAGAATCAGCTGGTAAACAAAAAAGTAATAATAACTGATAAGCTGGGTATAGATACTAAAAATAGTCGGTACCTATTTTAAATAAATACACAATCGTCGAAACAAGTTAATCAAATCCACACTTGAAGGTGGTGATCTCTGTACCTAACTATTCTTAAAAATATCTAAAATAACCAGAAGGTGATAGTTCGCTATGGTTATATGTTCCCTACCTTTCTAACAATTCACTCCAAACTACCTAAAATACCTTTGTAAATAAGTCTATTTTTACCTGGTAATGACAATAATTATGTGTGATAATTTGAGTGTAATTTATGTCCAAGTGATTAACATTTACTTGAAGGTAGGTAAGAATCTAATTAAAACTATAAGCATAAAGGGTTAAAAAAATAATAATCTTTTAGCAAAGTAGGAATAAAGGTTTGCTGGTTTTATAATCCAGAAATACCCTGAAGCTGTTGATAATTAAATGAGGCTCCAGCTCTCAATGAGATGGAAAACCCACTGCCAGATGATTAATTTAGAGGCTTGGATGGTTCCCAAAAACAGCACAACAATACTCAAACCCTTGTTAATGTATACTGGGTGGGTCTAGTAGGCTGGGATGAGAAGATAACAAAGTCCTCAAAGTTCTACGGGCGATCCAACAGGTCCAGGACTACTTGTCAGGAAAATAACGAATATCCAAGTAAATTTAGGGCCTCTGTTTAGCTTCAAGATAGGGTTGGATGCCACTGGGTTGATAGGGTGTAGATACAGAGACAAAGAGGAGAAACATAAAAAGGCCTAAAAGAATGAACATTGCTTCAGGCTTTTGAAGAATAAGGTATGTACGTATTTATTTAAATATTTTTAGCAGCAAAGCCTCAATTTAGTATTCGAAAGTAAGAAAATAAGGAACTTACCAATGGGAAATGGGCCTTTTTTTGTACAAACTCGAAAACGTGGAACCAAGGTCTAGGTTTTTTTTCCAGTAATTCGACAATAATTTAGCAAAATAGAGCTTTGATGGTTTAAAAGAGCTAATAGTCACCTTTTGACAAATTATTTGAGCCTAAACCTTTCTAAAATCGGCCAACGAGAAAAGCAAAAGGCTGGTGCTTCTTCTCAACGGAAACGTGGTTCTGTCACGAATCGGTTTTTGGTACTTTAACGCAGGAATTTTGGTTCTAGGAAAAAGTTAGGGATTTTTCAATGTAAGGTTTATAGAATCAAATTTTCGATTCAAAAATCAAACCGATAAGATCATTCATAAAATTTTCATCTGGGAAACCAAAGGGGAAACTTGAAGTTAAAATCATAAGTATTTCTTGATTTGGGTTCTTGAATGATACTGATTAACAACCATACTAGGTACTTAATTTATTTATATCGGTACCAACTCTTCGTTAGCATTGTTTAAACAAAACCTTAACCTCAATTTTTCGTTGTTTTTTTTATTATTGATATTTACTAATTTTTAATAATTCAAATTCCTTATTTTCAGGTAAATGATAAAGTTAAAATGACTGATGGTGGAGATATAATTGTTTCATTTATTAGAGCATTGAGCAAGTTATATTTAGAATTCAAACCAAGGTACTTAACAGTAAATTTCATTTCAGGAGGGTTCAAGGTGCCTGAGAGAAGATGCTCGGAGGTTCTTTAGTTTTTTAAGTATTTTGTGAAGACCTGTTATTGTGATCCGTAATAACATGCAGGTTGTCAGCTAGAGTTGTGTGGAAAGATCTCCAATTAATTAAAATCAAATATCTGTGCAGACTTTTCGTTAAGCAGGCTCCAGTAGGTACCATCGTCACCAAAAGTAACTTGGACAGCATCACATTTGCTCTCTTCGTATTATATGAATTTTATTGTCAAATATTTGTCAAACTACGCATTAAATGCATTGAAATGAATGACAGTAGAATTAGTCCAAGAGATTATTATGCATTATTTGTGTCCCAGTTACTTTTGGTGACGATGGTACCTACTACTGAGGACAAGGTTACGTGTTATCATCCTGACACTAATAATCAAGTCAATAAAAATAGAGAGATCCATAACCTTATTCCTCAAAAGTTATTCGGACGATTCTACTTCCACATACGAGCAGAATAATGGGAACATGACTCCATCATTCAGTTTTGCCAATATAAGTAGGTATGTCAAATCAGAAGCAT